GTAGCATCATCAGTGCTAGAAGGGAGTGGGGTTTGTGGAGAGGAGGAGGAGGAGGAGGATAATTGTGGGGTCCTTGATGCTGTCTAAGCTTGATGGTTTTCTTGCAGATGTTTCATGACCCAACTAGGTAGCATCATCAGTGCTAGAAGGGAGTGGGGTTTGTGGAGAGGAGGAGGAGGAGGAGGATAATTGTGGGGTCCTTGATGCTGTCTAAGCTTGATGGTTTTCTTGCAGATGTTTCATGACCCAACTAGGTAGCATCATCAGTGCTAGAAGGGAGTGGGGTTTGTGGAGAGGAGGAGGAGGAGGAGGAGCCAAAATCGCAAGACTACATCCGGTTTACTTTGGCCATGTCACATGTGTGAATTAGCAATAGAAATTGTGGTGGTTATGTCAAGGATTACCTGTGCAACTCTTGTCCAAAAATGCAAGCCGGAGCTGGACATTTCAGGTGTGCTCTCTTTCCAGGTGAATGCAGCTGCCATGAAGGATATGCTCCTGACCCCGTACATCGACATCTTTGTGTCCGCAACACCTGGGAACACAGCGAAGGGTGAGCATGCTAAGGGTCTTCTGGGGCAGGGCCCAAAGGTGGGAATCTCCAGGGAAAAGAGGATGGAAGGGATGGGAAGGAAGACTGAGACCCAACTTCAAGGACAGCATTAGAGCGGCATCTTTGCGCAAGGGGACCAGACATTTCGGAATTACTGACCAGAAAATCTAGCAACCCAGCAAGAATGTCATGTTTAATCAGGTGCACAACCCTGCTCCCCAAATTCTGCCTTCAGAATCAGAATAGAGCTGGAAGAGACCTTGGAGGTCTTCTAGTCCAGCCCCCTGCTCAAGCGGGAGACCCTCTACCATTCCAGATAGATGGCGGTCCAGTCTCTTCTTAAAACCCTCAGTGATGAAGCACCCACAACTTCTGAAGGCAAGCCATTCCACTGGTTAATTGTCCTGACTGTGGGGAAGTTTGTCCTTAATTCCAGGTTGCTTCTCTCCTTGATTAGTTTCCATCCGTTGTGTCTTGTCTTGCCTTCTGGTGCTTTGGAAAATAGGTTGACTCCCTCTTCTTTGGGGCAGCCCCTGAGATACTGGAACATTGCTGTCATGTCTCCCCCAGTCCTTCTTTTCTCTAGACTGGCCATCCCCAAATCCTGCAGCCGTTCTTCATAAGTTTTAGTCTCCAGTCCTTTAATCATCTTAGTTGCTCTTCTTTGCACTTTTTCCCAAAGTCTCAACATCTTTTTTCTAACATGGTGACCCAAACTGGGTGCAACATTCCAGGTGTGGCCTTCCTAAGCGATACAAATAAAGACTTAGTAAGGCCACACCTGGAGTACTGCATATCCAATGCCTATCCAAGTGGATTTGTTTGTTTATGTACATTTATTATCGAAAAAACACCAACCATTAAAAAAACCCCACCACAACACAGCAGGAAACATTGAATCAACAGGCATCCTAGGCTAAAATACTCTACTAACAAAACCTATCAAGCAAAACAGGGACCATTAAACAGTGACAAACTTCAACCCCAGGCCTGGGAACGGAGCCAAGGGTTGACTATGCCTCCCAGAAAGCAGAAATTCAAAAACTGGTTGTTAAACAAGATTGCACGCATCGGGAGAGGCAAATGGATGAGGTCTTTAATTAACCATGTTTTGATGTTGTGTAGCCTTGCCTTTGGGGGGGGTCATTCAAGGGTGCAAGGAACACCCCATTGTTTGCCTCGGTTTAGCTCCTTTGAAATCTCCTTTCCAGAAGGAGATTTAAGTATAAATAATGCATTAAATGTGTATTTATCAAAGATTGGCTTCGGGAGCAAAGGAATTACATTGGGGCTGTAACTCAAAGCTCAAAGCTAGAGTGCACAGAGTTGCAAGCTAGGAATCTTGGCTTCAGTGCTACCCTTCCCCAGCCAGTCAGCAAAGGATCTGTTTTGAATGCCACCGACAATCATTCTGATTTACATGGACCGACAACGGCTCTGCATAATGTCAACTCTGAAGTCTCAAGGAACCATTAAAAGTTAAACAGCAGGAGAGGGGAGCCTTCAAATCGCATTTCAATACCACCTTAATCTATCAATCCATCAACAAGAGCTATAAGGCTTGAGCGGGACAATAAATATAATTAAATATAGATAAGCTGCCAATGCATTAGAATGCCATAAATAAATAGCATAATTATGGAGAAGTGGGGGAAAAAAAGAAAGGATAATAAGCTATTTTGGCCCGAAGATGAGAAAATGATGTGACACTGAGTAATGTGGTTATTAAGAAGGAAATGGATTTGCTTCTCCTGGCTTCTGTTTTTAAATTCCACCCCTCCCGTGTATAATGACTGCTTCTACCTTGGGCTTGTTTCCACCAGCCCCTGGCCATACACAACTCTGGAGAGAGGCTATGATTTGGTAACGGGTGAACAAGCTCCTGAGAAAATTCTTAGGTGAGTCATGCAATCGGTTTGGTTCACGTTTTGCTGTCTATCTACCCTTTCTTGGTTTGGGTGAGCAGTTCAATTCCAGAGATTATTGTGGGGTCCTTAATGCTCTGTGAGCACGGTTGTTTTCTTGCAGACATTTCATGACCTGGCTAGATAGCATCATCAGGGATGGGGGGTTAGTGGAGATGAAGAGGAGAATAGAGTAGAGTAGAGTAGAATAGAGTAGAGTAAGAAATAGAAATGGATAGAAATGAATAGAGTAGAGTAGAGTATAGAGCAGCAGTTCTCAACCTGTGGGTCAGGACCCCATTTGGGGTCGATCGACCATTTCACGGGGGTCGCCAAACAAGGCTGTCCGCCATTTTTTTGTCCACCATTTTTTTTGTCCGCCATTTTTTTCCCCTTTTCCGGCGGGTGCCTTACCTCCCTTGGGCTGGGCCAGCTGGTGGTCGGCCTGCTCCGTCTCTGCCGCTTGCCAGCTACGCCTCGGCTGGCACAGGGGGCGGAACCACGCATGTGCGGCGCTCCCGGGCAGGGAAAGTCCTTGACTTACGACCGGTTGGGTAGTCCTCGACTTACGACCGGTTTAGTCCTCGACTTACGACCAGTTTAGTCCTCGACTTACGACTGGTTTAGTCCTCGACTTACGACCGGTTGGGGTCACGGCATTAAAAAGGTTGAGAACCACTGGTATAGAGTATAGAGTATAGAGTATAGAGTATAGAGTATAGAGTATAGAGTATAGAGTATAGAGTATAGAATAGAATAGAATAGAATAGAATAGAATAGAATGGGACCTTGGAGGTCTTCTAGTCCAGCCCTCTGCTCAAGCAGGAGGACCTGTACCATCTCAGACAAGTGACTGTCCAGTCTCTTCTTAAAAACCTCCAGTGATGGAGCGTCCACGATTTCGGAATACAAGCTGTTCCACTGGTTAATTGTCCTCACTATTAGGAAGTTTCTCCTTAATTCCAGGTTGCTTCTCTCTTTGGTCAGTTTCCATGACTTCACATTTTGAGATTCTGTGCTGAGTCTTGGAACCAGAAAGTCCAAAGTTCTCAAACTGGCATCGTTCTTGGTCTTCTGCTCTCATGTGTCTTCTTTTTTGAAGGTCTACCTACAGCCTGGGCCAAGGTCTTTGGCTTCCTGTGAGCAAAAGTTTTGTGGTTCCACCGGTGGAGCTTTCAATCAATCCATTGGCTAGCTGCAAGACGGATGTCCTTGTGACGGAAGACCCAGCAGATGTAAGGTAAGAAGGTCCTTCCTCAACTCTTGGTGCTGAAAAGGTCTCAGCTCTCTGGTAGCTGAGACACCCAATACTGAAGGTGCCACTTCAACTGTAAGTTTCTCTCGCTACTTGGAAAACAAGCCAGATTTGTTTGCTAAGCTCCGTTTTGTGTTCTTTCATATCCGTGCTAATGTTCACTCAGCTGGAAGACTCTTTAGCTATTCTGGAAATGTGTGGAATGTTCCGGTATCTCAGGCAATAATTTAGATCTTCTACTTTAGACTGAGTTCAACTTTGTTCATTCCATAAAGCACATAACTGGGAGCATTAATAGGGGGATTTGAAGATTAGAGTATTGTTTAGTTCAGCCTGTTGACTGCTTTTTTCTTCTTTTTTTCATATATATGTCTATCTATCTCCATCTCCATCTGTCTGTCTGTCTATCTATAGTCTGTCTTTCTGTCTGTCTGTCTGTCTGTCTGTCTGTCTGTCTATCTATTTATATTCTATCTATCTGTATTCTATCTGTCTGTCTTTCTATCTGTCTGTCTGTCTGTCTGTCTGTCTGTCTGTCTGTCTGTCTGTCTGTCTATCTATCTATCTATCTATCTGTATTCTATCTATTTTCTATATCTTTCTATCTTCTATCCTATCTATCTATCTATCTATCTATCTATCTATCTATCTATCTATCTATCTATCTATCTATCTATCTATCTATCTATCTATCTATCTTCTATCTATCTATCTTCTATCTATATCTACTATCTATATCTATATTCTATCTATCTATATTCTACCTACCTACCTACGTACATATCTATCTATCTATCTATCTATCTATCTATCTATCTATCTATCTATCTATCTATCTATCTATCTATCTATCTATCTATCTATCTATCTATATTCTATCTATCTGTCTGTCTGTCATCTATCTATATTCTCTCTCTCTCTCTCTCTCTCTCTCTCTCTCTCTCTCTCTCTCTCTCTCTCTCTCTCTCTCTCTCTCTCTCTCTCTCTCTCTCTATCTACACACACACACATACACATTTGTAAAAGGGGAGGAGAATTTATTGTGTTTTTCTTTTCTGTCAGCACTCAGCCAGGGTGGAGCCTACCTGTTAAATGTTAAAGTTAATGGACCACTTTTCCCTTCTTTTTTGTACACTATTATTAAAAAAAAAATAACTGGGGGCATGCATCCCTAACTGAAAACTAGACAAGGTAAATCAAAGAGATAACTGACAAATTGTCCTTAATGAAGACATCGTTTTTTTCCCCAAAAATGTTCTCCAAATCATGGAAAAACGTCATCTTCTCAAGAACATCCCGGTTTTAGAAGGGATGAGCTGGAGATCCAGATCCAGCCAGTTGAGACATGCAGCAAGTGCTGAATTATTCAGAATTTAATAAACGTAGGAATAAATATTTGATGTGAAATTATGGATGCTTCTACAAATATCTCAGGAATGAAAGACTGATCTAATGTTAGCATTAAAACTTGAGCTGCTTTTCCTGGCACAGCATTTATTTTCTCCTCCTCCTCTTCCTCTTCCTCTTCCTCATGATCGTAAAAATAATCACAACCACAACTGTCTTTTTTTATACCTGTTGTGTAGGCCTCAGTCTGGATCTTAGCATTGATCTCCCTCTTCAAAGCTGTGCTTCACCATATTTAGACACAACCATTCTATTTATCAAGCCAACAATTGCTTTATGTATTTGAATAAGCATCCCATAATTGACAGCTATTACTGGGTGGGGAGCTTGCGTCTTCTAGTAAAATATACCTGGTACAGGTGTAATCTTTAATTCCTTTAGGTTCCCTCTAGTGTCCAACTTTCAAAGCTTCATCCTATTGTGTGTTTCTTTTGAGTACTCAAGAATTTCCCACAGAAAGGATTCTCACCATTAATTTCAAAATCTTATTTTCAACCCATCTGGACCCTTCATGCAATTGTAACTTTTTAAAAGTCCCTAAGTTTATATTTAAACTTCTTTCACTAAGGATGGAAGGAAACTCACTCCTGCATGAGCAGGGGGCTGGACTGGAAGACCTCCAAGGTCCCTTCCAGCCTTATTCTGATTCTGATTCTGGAGACTCAAATAGCTCTTCCAGCTTGAACATCAACATTGGAGAATCTTTGACCACATTCTTGATGGTTTAACGATTCTTTTTTTTGAGTCTAGGGCTTCCTTTTTTTTTTAATCCTCTTCTATGAACTAGATCATTTTCTTTCTGAGTCAACTCTGAGGGCATCCTTTTTTGTTCATGTGTAATCTACTAATGGCCACCTTCTATTTTATTTCTTTTTAAAATATATATATAGAGAGAAAGAGCTTGACTGGAAACCTTTCTGTGCCCCTCCAGACTTCTGATTAGCCTGACACCTTTGCCCAGGGGAGGGGTCATTCTTTCTCTAGAGTTTAATGGAGGAAGATTGCTAAGCATCTTCTACTGAAGATTTTTTTTATAGCTCTCACAAGAACGGGTCATGCCACGGCCTTCATGTTTTAATGAAGATAGTTGGAGCAGAGCTTTGATCTTCACTGAAGGGCAGCTGAGATGAACAACAATCTGCTTTTAGTACCACTTTAGGCAAGAATGCCTCCCACGCCCTTTGTTAAACATTTGCCAAGCGGGTTTTAACGCAGGCTTTTGTTCAGGCCTGTTATTGGATGCTAAGAGAGGACCAGTTCAGGTGATCTATTTAGAAGCAATTCAGTGGGGCGATGGAGATGATCCAAGGAGAGAAGGCTGAAGGAGCATGGAAACGGTTCACGGAGAAACTGAACAGTGGGGGTTTTTTTCTCTCTCCTTTCTTCTTCCCTCGTTTTTCTGCTTGGTTGTGTGAACCCTGGTTTTCATTCCTAGCCTTTTATCCAGGTCCAGCGAGGGAACCTGCAAGGAGCCCAGCGGGACCCTAGCTCTAATTCGATAAATGAGAACTGGGTTTCTTCCAGCTCATCTGGAGAACGCAAGTTGGTGTAGATGTTCCAAGCAAATATTATTATTAATAATAATGATGATGATAAAGTTGGAAGGGACCTTGGAGATCATCTAGTCCAACCCCCTGCTCAGGCAGGAAACCCTATACCATTTCAGACAAATGGCTGTCCAGTTTCTTCTTAAAAACCTCCAGTGTTGGAGCATTCACCACTTCTGGAGGCAGGTTGTTCCACTGGTTAATTGTTCTCACTGTCAGGAAGTTTCTCCTTAGTTCTAGGTTGCTTCTCTATTGTGAGATGCTCGGTGGGATTCGAGCATAGGAACATTGTCTCTCCTTTAAAGGGTGGGGTTGAAGGAGTGAAGATTCTGCTCCTCACAATTCGGTCCCTCTTTTCTTCCAGAGACACAGCAGTTGGATAATAGCCTCGCTTTGCATCCGTTGGTAATAGAAATTATAGTCGAGTTTTGCTTGTCTTCTGCTGACTGGCAGATGGTAGCTTCCAAGTACTTCAGCCATAAAAGGAAACAAATCACTGGATAGGCATATTTGGATAGACAATGGCACTGAAGTGACAGTATCCCAAGACTTAACTTTTTATATGCTGAATGCAGCTGCAACATCTGGAGGGTGTACAGCAGAGATGGGCAATGTTGGAAGGACAAGGAGTTCTCTCTGAAGACCTGACGGCAACGTACTCAGAGTTTTCTTCTTTCTCTTTGCTCCTGCTATCTGTCGTGGCTTCTCTTTCTGGCCTACTTTCCTGGGATCTCCTGGCAGTCTCCCCTCCAAATGCTAACCAAACATAACTCTGCTTAGCTTTTAGAGACAGAAATGGGACCACTCGCTGTAGTCCACTCGCTGTGGCCAGCTCGTCGCGGCCAACTTGCCACGAGACAACTCACTGTGGGGTAATTCCACGTGGGATAACTCAACACACACAAAAAGTTATCCGCCACTGTTTCTTCAACGTTGTTTCCATTTTTGTAGAAATGGATGAAAATGAAAAGAATGTCGAAGAACGGATAACATTTATCGTGTTGAGTTTGTTCCGGGGTGAGGTATCAAAGATGCTTTTTCACGAGGCAACTGGACTTACTTGTTTTTCCTTTGAAGACATTTCGCTTCTCATCCAAGGAGCTTTTTCAGCTCTGACCGGATGGTGGGGAACGGAAGGATTTATACTCCTTGCAGACAGCTGGTCATTTGCCTTCTTTTAGAGAGTCGCTGAGGCCACTTGGAGGTTTTTCTGTGTCCTCGGGGTCACCTGAGTAATGCAAATGGGTGTGGAGCCTTCCTGGAACTGTTGAAAGGACTGTTTTGTAGAAAGGAGATAGATGATGTCCTATCCCTCCCCCTCTGTTGAGAGAGGGCTGTTCAGTTTTGAAATAGATGGCCTCTTTGACCCCTCTTTCAAATCAGTGGTCCTCTCTATCCAAAATGTGGACTTTGCTGTCTTTTTAAATGCAGATGGACTGCATTTTGGACAGAAATGTCTTCAAAGAAAAAAAAGAAAGTCCACCTGCCTCATGAAAAAGCATCTTTAGGACTTTAGGTGCTTAATTGTTCCTCCGATCTATGCCGATCTATGAATGTAATAAAGATTTGATCTGATCTGATCTGATCTGATCTGGCTTGACTTGACTTGACTTGACTTGACCTGACTTGACTTGACTTGACCTGACCTGACCTCACTTGACTTGACTTGCTCCAATGATCTGCACTCTCTCTGGCTTCTCTTCCATTCAACTCCGTTACAAGAGAAGAAGAAACTTCTTTTTTTCCAGATTGGGAAATAGCAGAATCCAGGTAGGCGGCATGTTGATAGCAAGTTAGCTAAACAAGGAAATTGTATTTTCCACAATTTGCAGCCTCTTTGGCTTCTCCTGCTTCTCTTCTCTTCATTCCCAGAGACAAGCCCTAGCAGTGAGTAAAGAAATAGAAACAATGGGAACAGAAAGTTATTTCTTTGCTGTCAATTCATTTGAGCCTGCTTGAAAGAAAATGTGACAAGAAAAAAAAAACCAAAAACCCAGCATGGCATTAATTGAATATTTCTAGTGTAACTTT